CTCCAAAACCTCGCACTTGCCAGACTGTGGGCTCTGGGCTCTGCGAGCCTGTGGGCGGAGTTGCGCAGATTGTGGGTTCGGAGCTCTGGCGCGCCAAATACTTTTTTTTAGTGGCCCGAAACTGTCCTTCACACGTCTCAAACCTCTCAAACCCCTCAATCCCCTCAAACCCCTCGACAAATTGCCAATGGTTCTGCCATACTTCTGGATTCTGGACGCTTCAGACGCTCCAAAACCTCGCACTTGCTACACTGTGGGCTCTGGGCTCTGTGCGAGACTGTGGGCGAAGTTGCACAGACTGTCGGCTCGGGGCTCTGGCGCACCGACTCCTTTTTTTTCTAGTGGCCGAAACTGCCCTTCAATCCCCACTTGCTGGGCTGTGGCACACCATTTCCCTTTTTCTCATGGTCCGCAACGGCCTCTCTGGGCTATTTCTTGCCTACCGTCTTCTGCGCGTTCTTCTTTTGGTCTTTCACCTTTCCAGCGGTGACGTAAAACTGGTTGCCGCACACTGTCCGGTGATTAATTTTTCCCGTCGTGACATTGCTTGCGACCAGGCCACCACAATGCGGGCAGGTGTACTTATGCTTTTTCTTTTCTTTGACAGTTCCATCCCTGAACAAACCGGTTGCCGCACACTGTCCGGTGATCAATTTGTCCCGTCGTGACATTGCTTGCGACCAGGCCCCCACAATGCGGGCATGTGTACTCATGCTTTTGCTTTTCTTGGACTGTTCCATCCCTGACGCAAAACCGGTTGCCGCACACTGTCCGGTGATCAATTTGTCCCGTCATAACATTGCTTGCGACCAGGCCCTCACAATGTGGGCATGTGTACTCATGCTTTTGCTTTTCTTGGACTCTTCCATCCCTGACGCAAAACCGGTTGCCGCACACTGTCCGGTGCTCAATTTGTCCTGTCATAACATTGCTTGTGACCAGGCCCCCGCAATGCGGGCATGTGTACTCATGCTGTTTCTTTGCTTGGGCTTTTCCGTCACTGACGTAGAACTGGCTGCCGCACACTGCTCGGTGATCCACTTGTCCATTGGCTATCGTGCTCTCCACGGTCGCCTTACAGTGCGGGCATATGTACTGGCATGTCTTGGTGCCTTGGCTAGCGAGAGTCATGCTGCCTTGGCCATCGAGACCCTCTGGCAGTTTCCCACGCTTCCTCACCGGTTCCTCCCTTGCCTGCTCTGTACGCTTGATTTCTGCTAAGACTTCCGCGATGATGCGTTCATGCTTGCGCTGCTCTACTTTGGCACGCGTGGCGGCCAGGCGGGCCACGGCTTTTGCCGCCGTGCCCCGTGGAAGCTTTGGCGGTTGGCTTTCCTGGCTTCTGAACTGGGTCTCGGGGCCCCGCACTGTAAAACGTGCGTTCGCCTTTTGCGTCGTGCCTCGCGGGCGCGTTGCGTGCCCATGGGCCTGGCTCGTGCAAGCCAAGCATACTCGGGATGCACCTCGCGTGCGCAGCCATGCCGTCGGCGCAAACCCGGCCTTCGCTTTGCGCCGGCCGCACTGTGCGCACACCTTCGTCTCTTCGCACGTCTCGCACACGCGGTAAAACGTGCACTGCGGGCGGCGGTACTTGGCGACAAATGCATCTTCTTGCTTCCACATGTAGCAGGCCATGCATTGCCAAGGCTGCATCATCGCCCCGTGACGTTGGAGACATTCTTTACAGTGTCGAGTGCGCGAAATGCAGGCGAGAGTGCGATTTGTCCGGTGTGCGCGCAACCCTCTGCGGAGATCGTGCGTGTCGAGTGCGCGAAATGC